GAAAATTCATTTTTATTTTTAAAGGTTCGTAAAACAACAAGTTGTTGTTTATATGCGGCGAAACTTCAGTATATTATAATATTTGATATGCTTGTTTAACTTGCTCTACAAGAATACCAAGCGGGCAATATTGTTCTAAGCATGTTTTACATAAGTGCCAAGAAGCGTTGTGTTCTACACAAATTAGCATTTCGCAAATATGAATTTTTATTTAATAAGCGAATGTGGTTAGGATAATGAAATTTTTATTTTTTTCATGTTTTTTTAAAATATTGGAGATAATATTCCAACATTCTAAAGTGTAACAGATGACTAAATCTCAGAATAATATTTAAATGAAAGAATTTTACATGACTCACGATGACTAAAAATAATTCTACACGGAAGGTTTAATTATTAATTAAGGAAATGTTAATTAGCATAATTTAGGATTTCTTTAAAGTCGGATAACTAGATGATAGAACCTTTAACATGTATAAATACGTTGTAAATTTCTCTTTCATGTAATCTTTAGTTTTTTTTAGTTCTAGTAAAAACTCAAATAGCTCTGTCTTAATGAAATAATAAATAACCTTGACCTTGACCTTGTTGTGTTTGAATATTATGTTTTCGTAATGATAATACACTGGTCGAAAATTCTGATTTTGACAAAGCAATACGTTTATAAAAACATGGGTGCAAATTGGTATTTAACCAATGTTTTCTAAAAACTGGCTAAATATTGGCTAAAAAGACCAATTTATCCCTATGTTTTACCAAGTTGATCATTGGTAAAACATTGTCAAAACTGAATATTTCGACTAGTGCAAAAAGGAACGTTACCGGGGGAAGAAAAGGGAAGTAAGAGAAACTTGCCCTAGAAATAATAGAAATAATAGCAAAGACTAGTGAAATAAATAAAGAGAAAGTGTAATTATAAACTATATAGCTGGATACTGCCGTAGGGCGAAAGAAATATTAATTTAATCAAATCATAAGTTTTCTGTGAGACGCGAGAAATAATTAATCTCACATTTTGGCGACGACAACAGGTCCACAATCTTCAGGATAGTCTTCATACTACTTGGAATTGAATATTGTACCCACCAACCTGAAAGAGGGCAATAGATAAATATATTACTTATAATGCACCACGGAATATAACGACAGGTCATATAATTATCTGATATAGGGAAATAAATAAATAATTCATAAATACATTACAGAGTATAGTGACGGGATTATAGTATAGACATATTATATAATTAACCACACTGGTGGAAGAAGCCTAAAAAGAAAGTTTCGGAGATAGAAAAGCAAACGGTGTGAAATTGTGCCTTGGAAGTAAAGAAATTATTAGGCTCTATGAAAAATTGTAAAAAATTTTTTAATAAAGGATTAAAAATAAAGTGCCGTAAAATGATAATAAAATCTTTGATGAGAGAACAGATGCGATAACGAAAGAAAGAATGTCAAGAGCATTGATCGGAATAGGATCAAAGCTTTTGCATAATTTCAAGAAAAAGATAATTAACTAACTAGAAAATGTAAAGCTCTAAACGATTTGATAAATGGTAACTATGATTAAATAACTAGAAAAGGATTCAAATTTAGTACAGTAGTAGTATTATAGCATGCTTAAATCAAAGAAAAAGAAATTAAGGCGCCGGAAGAAGATATTTAAATAAAAACGAAAGAATTTATTTTTATTTCGTGTAACGAAATAGGAATTTTTCTTTACTTGCGGGACAACCATTTATTATTAATATATAGTTAATTAAATACATAAAGAATAAATCAATAGTAATGAAGAAACTATAAGAGGTATAAAATAGATTCATTGGGACAAATGAATCTTAAGACGGGAAAAAATGTAAACGATCACGGGAAACTAACATATAAATCAGAAATGATTTACATGTTTGCTATCGGGAAGGTTGAATACATAAAATGATATCAAAAAATGCTATGAAATCGGGATAAAATATCTATCTGTCCCAGAACCAGCAAAATTACACAACACAAATTAGTATTTCACCTAAACAACAAGTTAGTTAATTAAATAAACCACTTGGAGAGTGAGTCAAATTCTATACATTCACAATGGCTATTTAGGATTAAGCAATTAATTATATTTATTATAATGGGCAATGTAATGTACATTTTCTACATTGTTCCTATATATAAAAATAAAAAAAAAAATTAATATTTTATCTTAAAATATATATAATTATATTTTATATTATATATATACCCCGTCATCATTAAATTGTGGTAATGGTGACTGCTGTGGTGACTGCTGTGGTGATTGTTGTGGTGATTGTTGTGGCGATGGTTGTGGTGATGGTTGTAGTGATGGTGGTGGTCCCTGTAAAAAAAAATTAAATAAAATTATAAAATTTTATGTCTACTATTAATGTTTCAGTTATACTTACATTGTTTTTTCGGCGACGTTTTTTTTGTAATGGGCCACCGATACTATAATTAATTCGTTTTCTAGTTCTTAGGTTATAGCTAGTCTGTGAGATTTTTAAAAAACAAATGTTTAAGTTGATAAAAAAATGAAAATAAAATTATGTCAATAATTATTCAGTTATCTTCATCATCATTCTTTTAAAAAATATGTTAAGTTGAAAAAAAAATAGAACAATAAAGCTAGAAAACTGATGTCAATTATAACCTACATAATCTACAGAGTTCTTTAAACTTACATTATTATTATTATTGTTGTTGTTGTTGTTGTTATTACCACTATCATTATTCATGTCATCATCATCATCATTCTGTAATGAGGAGAAGATGTATAATATAAAGGTTAAATTTCTAAATGAAAATGGACAAATTACTAATAGAGAAGTTCTTTAAACTTACATTACCACCACTACTGCTGCCGCCACCACCACCATTATTATTATTACCATCATTATCATGATTACTATCATCCTTCTTTAATAAATAAAAGAATAATATAAGGGTTAAATTGTTACAATGAAAATGAAATAAATTATTAAACAAAGAATTCTTTAAACTTACATTATTATTACCATCATCATTCTGTAATGGAAAGAAGGTATTAATAGTATAAAAGTTAATGAAAATGAACAAATTACTAAACAGCAAAGTTCTCTAAACTTACATTATCATTATCATTCTGTGATGAGGAGAAGATGTAATAATATAAAGGTTAAATTTCTGAAATGAAAATGGACAAATTACTAATAGAGAAGTTTTTCAACTTACATTACCGCCACTGCCACCACCACCGCCACTAACATCATTATTATTATCATCATTATCGTGGTTACTATCATCCTTCTTTAATAAATAAAAGAATAATATAAGGGTTAAATTGTTACAATGAAAATGAAATAAATTATTAAACAAAGAATTCTTTAAACTTACATTATTATTACCATCATCATTCTGTAACGGAAAGAAGGTATTAATAGTATAAAAGTTAATGAAAATGAACAAATTACTAAACAGTGAGGTTCTCTAAACTTACATTACTATCACCATTATTATTATTATTCTGTAATGGGGAGAAGATGTAATGATATAAAGGTTAAATTTCTGAAATGAAAAAAAAACAAATTACTAAATAGAGAGATTCTTTAAACTTACATTATTATTACCATCATCATTCTGTAATGGAAAGAAGGTATTAATAGTATAAAAGTTAATGAAAATGAACAAATTACTAAACAGTGAATTTCTCTAAACTTACATTACTATCATCATTATTGTTATTATTCTGTAATGGGGAGAAGGTGTAATAATATAAAGATTAATTTCTGAAATGAAAATGGACAAATTACTAAATAGAGAAGTTCTTTAAACTTACATTACCACCATTACCACCATCACCGCCATCATTATTATCATCATTATTAGTATTAACAAGAATCTGTAATAGGAAAAAGGTAAATAATATAAATGTTAAAGGTTGATTCCTTAAATGAAATAAACTACTAAATAGAGAAGTTCTTTAAACTTACATTACCACCACTACCACCACTACCATCATTATTATCATTATATTCCAGTTCCCCCTGTAATAGGAAGAAAATATATTAATATAAAGGTTAAATTTTGGAAAACAAAAAGGAAGATAAAAAAAGAACATTTATTTGATTATTACTGGAAATAGTATGCTTAATACAACTTCTAAATATTGATTCGCTGTAAAAAGACTTTCTTCATCAATATTTTTTAAATAAATTAGATTTACATTTGATAGTTTATTTATGTTGCTTAAAAAGGTGTTCTGCGAAATATAATAATATATGAGTCTTAAAGATAAGGATTGATATTTGAACATTGTAATGTTTTACTTACTCTAAATTGAAATGAATTAAAGAGAGTAAGTATTATAACAATTAATTAGAGTAATGAATGCAACCACAATTCTTTTTAAAACTAGAATGGCAACAAGTTATAATGACTGCAACCATCACCATCATCCATCCTTTTAATAAAACTAGAATGACAAGTTGCAATGATTGCAACCATCACCGTTCTTTTTATAATAACTAGAGTGACGACGAGTGGCGGGCGATAACCCACCACCATCATTAAAACACTTTTCTTCTTTTTTTTGTACTTCTTTGTTGCAACATGTTTATTTTTAAAGAATTAAAAAGTTTGTGAATGATCGACACGTACGCATTGATTATTTATCCTATTGGTTTTTTTTTTGGTAGGACAGACGCGAATGATTTTTTTTTTTTTTGGAAAAACAAAAAACAATTTATTTTTTGACAGAGTCCAAGATGACAAAACGTGAACGTTGTTGTTTGGTATGGTTTGGGTCTCCTAAAGAAAAGGTGTTAATAACTAACCAAAGGTACTACTTTTTTTTACTTGTATTGATTGATATTTTTATTTTATTATAAATATTTTAATTGGAAATCAAAACGCGGAGCAGATCATTGCTGGGTAATTACAAGATTTTCATTGATAATAATAATATTTTGCTTTTCGTAATTGTAATAATAATAATACTATTATTATTATTATAATTACAAGATATCAAGGCAGCATTGACTGTTGAAAAAGAAACAATTCAAATATGCGATGTTTGATTATCGGAAATTTTACAGGTGTTGAAGCACGCATGCTACCTTGAACACTTTACAGTCATTCACACACGTTTCTCATGTACATAAGGCTAATCTGACCACGGTGCTCCAGATGATACAATGATGCTACCGAATTTTCAGGGGGGGGGGGCGCAAAGCTCTGGAGTTTACCAAGACTGCATCAATCGTCAATGACACTTTCACTAATCTTCCCAGACCAGAGATGGCCGCTGCCATGTTGGATGAAAAGTCACCTGCAACGATCCTGCCTCTAGGGCAAGAATGGCTCTGTGACCAAGTCGCAACTCTGCTGATGAATTGTAGTGCCATGTAAATATCCAGATCTATCAAAGCAATGAGAACAGGAGGTCACAATTC